GGGAGGCATTAAGTTTCACCAACACAGTTTGAACACTTAATACCTAGTGCGGTGTTAAAAGCGGCGATGAAGATAATGCAATAGCAATGCGTTAATGACTACAGCTCACAGTTTATAATAATGTCCCTTAATACACTTTGAAGTGTAAACACTGCTTTTTCACTACAGAAATTCATCTTATTAATTCTATTTTTCAGGTGATACATTATTCTTGGGTGGTTGTGGCAGATTCTTCGAAGGCACAGCAGACCAAATGCATCACGCTTTAATTGAAGTCCTAAGTAGGCTTCCAAACGAAACAAAAGTATTCTGTGGCCATGAGTATACATTACAAAACTTAAAATTTGCATTACATGTCGAACCGGAAAATGAAAATGTTAAAGAAAAAATCAGTTGGTCGAAACAGCGTAGACAAGAAGGAAAGCCTACAGTAAGTAGTCATAAACAATTGATTAGGTACTTTATGGCTTCATTGAACTTTAAAAAAAATTCTAGTGCCATCAAACTATAGCCACTTTTCACTCACCATATGAAGCAGCAGTATTTTACAGCTGTATTTTATGTTCACCGTGTAGTTATGACGAAGATAATCAACAATCCCACATAAGAAACAAGTGATTGGCAGCATTACCTTCTTGATGACAACTCAAATAAAAAAGACTGGTTGCCAACTCACCAGCTAACTGCTGTAACTATAGCAAATATGGGAAATATTTATGAGGCAAACTATTGGAGAGATCTGTTTGCTAAAAATATAAACTGATTGAACTGAACTGATTTCTTTTAATGTTCCTATATTATAATTCACTATTATGTCATATAAAGTAAATAATATTTTATAGGTGCCTTCAACGATTGCTGAAGAAAAGTTATACAATCCCTTCATGAGAGTAATGGAGCCAGCAGTCATGAAACACGCAAATAAAACAGAACCAATTGAAACTATGAAAGCAATCCGCCTTGAAAAGGATAGCTTTAAAGGTTAATTTATATAACAAATATAATAATTTGTTAAAAAGAAATAAGATTTTATAAATAATTTTTTAATTTTTATTTAATTGTATTATATAATTAATCCAGTATCATCATATCATTGTTTTCATTACAACCCTTTACAAGTCCGCTGCTGAACATAGATCTCCGCCAAGGAATGCCACAAAGCATAGTCCTGAGCCACCTGCAACCATCAACTTCCTGCATGTCGTCCTTACCAAGTCGTCACACCAACTAATGAAGGGCGGCCCTACACTTCATCTATCAGTACGAGCCTGCCACTCAAGAACCTTTCTTCCCTATCAGTTGTCGGTTCTTCGATCTATATCCCTGGCCCATTGCTACTTAGGCCACATGAGTAAAGAAATCGTACCGTACGGAGGCAAAGCTTCATACAACCGCGCTGTGATAGGTACACCAGCTTGAGGCGCGTGTGTGCGTGAGCACTGGCGGCTCGTCATGTACATAGAGGAACCGCTTTAAACCGGCTCAGCCAGTGCTAAAACTCGGGGTTGTTTAAAAAATAATAAGTGTCAAATTTTCTTTTTTAAAGAATAATTCGTATGAAATGAAATATAAAAAAGTGTAAATATGGTTGACGTAGATTTAAATCTTATTGAGGTTGCCGCAAGAGGTACCGCTGATTTTGTAAATAAAATTAATAATTTGTTTGATTTCTTAAACTCAAGTACATCTCCTAATAAATATAAAAGAGCTTTTCGATACGATAGTCATCAAATTGAGTTTTTAGAACTAGAACTAGAAATGCTAACATTTTTCAGGAACTTAAAATTAATAAGAAGTGATAGGCAGAAACACGTTACAAATAGCATTAGCAATAGCAATTTCATTCGCGGATTTCAAGTGTTTATAACATCTTTAATATGACTTCATGAAGAGTTATAATCAGAAGAAATTAAATTAATTTATATTTACGAGACGTCTCAATCAAGATTATCTCGAAAATTTCTTTGGAAAAGTTAAGTTATCTTCAGGAGGGTGGTAACTGCCAGGAACCAACGTGTCGTCTAGTTAGTATTGCCTTCAATAAGATGTTTATAACCAATATCTTAGGGAAACCTCAAAATACTAATTGTGAATGCGATTTCGATATGTTACTTCTGAAACCAGACATTTGTACTATTTTAATTCACCATCACCGCAACCTGACAATGTTACTGCCCCTTTGTTAACAGTGGGAACAAATGATTATCTATTTGATTTACCAGAAAAAAAAAATGGTTTATTCTATGTGTTGGGATATTTGTATAGAAAATGTTGTCTCGAACACAACAAAAATGTGAGAAAATAAAATTGTACGGTAATATATCTGAACAACCTATAAATTTGGGAAAATATTATTTTTCCAGCCATTACAAGGATTTTAATAAAGATATGAATGAATGAATGAATATACTTTATTGTACACCACAAACTAATAAACAAATTACATAACAATAGACAGGTTAAATGTACAATTTGGCCTTATCGCTACATGGCGATCTCTTCCAGGCAACCAAGGGTGTAAAGGAATAAACAATGAATACTGGGTAGGTGGTGCAATCTAATTATACAAAATATAATATCAATACATGCGATATATAGACAATAAATGCAATAAAATAACATATGAATAACTAACACATGAAATGATATAAATTACTAATACATAATAAAAGATAAAGTAAAGCATATAATATATACATAAACATACATACATATATAAGAGTATATAAACAAACTTACATATCTAAGATAGTGTTCAATCGGGGTTTTTATTATTAATATTATTACTTCCTGACAATTTTATCGCGTTTGAATTGAATTGCTTGACCACAAATTTCGCGAATATTTTGACGTCAAAGGAAATGTAAATATTGGTAGTGAAATATTAAAACGTGTGCAAGATTTTATATTTGTTATGAAATGTGAGTGCTTTCCAATAAATAATTAAAAAAAACTTTACACATTAAATTTAGAATTTACAAAATATTGACAGCTCTTTAGAAGCTTTGCCTCTGTACAGTTTCTTTACTCATGTGCTTAAGCTCACTGATTCGTTGGGCTATGCTATATTGGTTACTTTGGTACTGCGGCTATACTCATTAAGTCTATCACGCTGAGAAACCCCAAACAAAGCCTCTCCATACCTCGACGAGCGACCTTGAGCAGGTCAGGTTATACGGCCAGCAGTGAAGGACCACATCTCGGATCCTTAAGTCATCACTGGCAACATGCACTGGTTGTACATTCTCGTTTTGAAGGTTAGATATATACCTGCACTCCCGAACACTGCACAGCCGATTTCAATATATCGATTGACTTCTATTCTGATGATATCCCGGACGTCAGTACTCGAAGTCTTTCAGAAGAAAGAAATTCCGTCATCCATGGTAGCACTAGTCCGGAGGTGTGGAGCAGAACTACAGACCGATTTCCCTTTAGAGCCGCGTCTACGTGACGTTTTCGAGAGTCATTACGAATTGTATCGCTCCCAGACTCCGACGACTTCCAGCCTCCCGAAAAAGCCGGTTTCCGAAAAAACTTTAGTACCACAGACCACATACAAACCCTTCGGCAAATTGTACAGAAGACCGAAGAGTACAATCTGCCCCATTGCCTTGCGTTTGTGGACTATGAGAAATCCTTTGATTCCGTCAAAATTTGGGCGGTGCTATAATCCCTTCAGCGGTGCCAAGTTAACTGTTGGTGTATCGAAATGCTGAAGTGTTTGTACTGTATAGTAGGGTTATGATGGCTATCCGAGTACAGAACTAGATTACGAAACCTATCCAACTGCAGAGAAGTGTTATAGGGTGACGTTATATCCCCGAAGCTCTTCACCTCTGCATTGGAAGAAGTTTTCAAGCTACTGGACTGGAAAGGATACGGTATTAATATCAGTGGCGAATACATCACTTGTCTCCCAACAGATAGCATTAAACTGAACATGGATAAAACAAGTCATGTGTAACATCCATGTCACACCTTTGCTGGTAGTTGTTAGGAGTACTACGCACGAAGTTGTTGACAAGTTTGTTTACCTCTGACAAGTAGTCCGACTAGGTAAGTACAATTTAGACCGAGAGATCAATCTACTATCATTATTTGTAAATAAAGTAAATAAAAGCTATCTGTATCCACATTTTAAGTGCAGAGTTACCTATGACACATATTATTGAAGTAAAACTTCGCATCGTTGTAATTTGAAACTCAATGAAAAGAAAAAGAGACAAATATATAAATCTGTAGGATAGGTCTACAAGAGAATGAGATAGAATATATCTATTCCGCCAGTATATTCTGGAGTCTATGATATCTATACTAATATAATAAAGCGGAACAGGTTATTTGTTTGCTTAAACACGGTAATCTCTAGATCCAGTCCAATTTGATAAATTCTTTTTGTATATTATAGTCAGATTCACGAGGAATAGTATAGGCTATCTAGCATTAGGCTACACCTCTGAGCTAGCCTGAAAACGCGCTCCCGAACTGGTTTATCCGCGTGTGCTACAATAAGGTATTATATGACAAAAAAATATTGAAAATTGATTTATGGGCATTTTTTTTTACTTATTATAAGTAAGTGCTTGACCACAATCCTACCTGGCATATAATATATTAGGCATGGCATATTAATCCTTACGAACGAAAGTTACTTCATCATCAAGACAATTTTATGAAGATAATTTTTGCTCTTTATAGCATGTTATTTGGACGTGTTGTATAAGAGTTAATGAAAAATTAAAATAATTCAACACGCGGTTCGGCGCGTGAATGACGCCCAAATAGAACTTGACACTTCTTTGCTGATTGAGATAAGTTATATTTATGCATTGTATCAGTGTCACTATATTAGGATTTATACAGTTTTAAGAATTATAATGATTTAGTAGCATTGTCAATAGTAATTAAAAACATCTTTGATTGGTAATTTTTTTTAATATCAATTAACTTAAAGCCGACTATCACAAGAGAGTTATAAGGTATTCTGGATTTTACTGTCATTGCTCCTTTTTTATATAGGCTGACATTTCTTCTGCATACTTTTCTTTTGATCTCTCGAACATAGCCACATACACCTGTAACAAAAATTTGCCAATATATCAAATTTATGTATTGACACATGGCTGGCTTCCACTTTTTAGTTGTGGATATACATATAGCAAAAAATATGAACATCTTGCCGGCGTCATTTTATTGGACCAAAATTAATGTGGATTACTAAGGTTTTTCACACATTGTGCAACAGCTCATTAGATAATAGTTAAATAAACAGTAAATCATTATTTAATAGCTTATGGTGAAAGTAAATGAATGGTAAATCATTATTTAATAGTTTATGGTGAAAGTTCAAAATGTAAGTCATACTGTAGTTTTCCAAGCTAGTATGTTTTTCTTTTTATAGAATAAGGGTGACAAGCACACATTCCACCTGATGCTAAAAGGATACTATGGTCCATAGAGATGTACATCTATCTTCAGTTAAGAATCAAAATATAGATGTGTTGTCACTTCTGAGGACTAAGATGGATGGCCTTGTTTCCAGTAAAAAAAGGTCTTCGGTTTCCTACACTTACCATTTGTAACAGCAGCATTTAACTGCTATTTTATACTGGTATTCTGTGAGTGTGGCTCTTCCCCATTCATTAAAGCATTCATTCAAGCTTGAAACAACAGAAGTCATATATTCATGCTGTGAGGCATCCCATCTTAAGCTCAGTGGTGGCAACTCATCTGTAGCCTTTTTCGTTTAAAATTTGTGACAGGGGTCTATGATAACTTACCATCAGGTGGACTGCGGGTTCATTTGTCAATTCAGTTAATAAATACTAAAAGGACCTGATGAAAGGAACACCTTAACAGGTTCCCTGTCTCTGAAATAGACACATTAGTTAAACAATCTAAATGTTCATATATGATTCATGGGACAGGGACAGAGTTAAAATATTTAGTGTTAGTGATATGAGTGATACTGAATACCAAATATTCATTACAACTTATAAATCACAGCAAGTTGTGACCAGTTATAAAACACCTAATTTGTTGACCATGTCCATTGCATTTGCTCATATTTACCATAATTTACAATGACATTTAAAAATAATTAATTGCAAGTTGTATAGGTTGAACTCGACAGATTAAAGCTGTATTTTTTTTTAATAAGATTAGGGTGAAAAACGAGCACACAGTCCACCTGATGGTAAGTGGTTGCTGTGGCTCATAGACATCTACATCTATCTTCAATTAAGAATCAAAATGCAAATGCATTGTCACCCGTGAAGACTAAGATGGAATACCTCGTTTCCAGTAAAAAGGGTCTCCGGTTCTCTACACTCACCAAACAAAACACAGCAGCGTTAAGCTGCTATTTTACGCTGGTATTCTGTGAGATTGTGGTCCTTCCCTGGTCGAGCTGACACATTCGTGCTACAACCATAATATAGCTGCAGCATGGCTCTACCACGTTCAAACATGCTGTATATAAAAAAGGATAAAATTTAGCACTCCAGCCAGACAAAAATACTTACTAACTACAGTATTTTGTCATAAAGTTTTCAAACATTTTAAATACCCTCTACATATATACTTTATATATGATGTAAAATCAGACTTAAAACTGCTTTTTCACACTTACTCTTTTCTCATCATTTGTTAGGGATCTCCACCTTGATGCTAATTGTCGTGTTACTTCTTGTTTAGTAGGTTCTGCCCCCATTTCTGAAGTTGTTTCTGCTACAACCAAGGGCCTCTGTTCTTGACAAAATTGGAAAAAGGCATTACATGGCTTTTTTGGAGCATTCGGGTCTCTTTCAGGCTGTAACATAACCAATAAAGTGCTGGACATTAATAATATTAATAAATGATGTGACTATAAATTTTCTTATGAATGACACCTATCTAGATAAACTTGGGAAGTAAAATATTATCCAAATAATGAACCAGTTAGATACCTTATCAGCTTTACTTTTTCTCTTAGACCCCGGCTTCTTGCCACCACTAGAATTTTGTTTTTCGGCGATTCGTACAAAAGGTTGTGCCTTGGCTACAGGACGAGCAATTCGCGACGTCAATTCAGGCTTTACATCTATTTCCACTGACGTTGTTCTGAATGGATCGCCATGTTTATCCAATCGCTCAATCAGTAGTTTTATATCTTTCCTGTAGCGCTTTGTAATTTTCTTTACTTCATGTATCCTGTAATGACAAGTAACTCTTATTTGCATTTTTTAAAAGCTACGTTTGCACTGCTCATAAACACGAACCTGTTTACAATTCTTTCGTTATCCTGTTGTAATACTTCACATCGTTCTAACAATAACTGGTATTTTCGTCTGTAAACTTCTTCTTCGGATGGTAAACTAACCATATCATCAGAGTCGTCAGAAATATTCGAGTTAAGCTGTTGGACTGTCATTTTAAATTATTTCACGGCTATACAAAGTTCAACACAACAATTTTCTTTTTATTTAGATAGTTGTCATTTGTCAGTCTCAGTGCTGCCAACACAATATTACCACAGATTATTAATACTAAACTATTACTAGCGCCTAGCCAACGCCTAGGGAAGGATATATTATTAGAGATTTAAAAAAAAACATAAACAAGTGGTAAAATTAAAAAAAAAATTACAATTTGACTTCAATATAAATAAAATAAGAAACACCATTAATTTAGTCAAAGTCAATTAAATACGCATTAAGGATAACTTAAAACTACTGGTCAGATCTTGATCAAACTTATATGAGACCAGCATTCAAATAAAAAAAGAATCATCAAAATCGGTTCACATAGAAAAAAGTTCTGAGGTAACACACATAAAAAAACAGTCGAGTTGAGTACTTTCTCCTTTTTTAAGTTGGTAATTTTTTTTAATATTTTTAAAATAGCATAGAACAAAGATTATATTGTATGGTACATGTGAACCATAAATAATCTAATAGGTACATATTTCTAGTTTCTAATAGAAGAACCTGAAGAGTCTATTTACGTGGTAGAGTCAAGCTTTAATATGGTTGCAATACGTATAGCACGCATAGGTCAACTCGAACGGAAACGGGTCACACTCTCATGATACCAGCGTTAAATAGTAACTTAAGGTGGAAGCTCCAGGGTGGCCCGCGAAATTCAAATTTTCTTGCGTTTTTTGGAATTTGCAGGTCAGGGTTAGGTTGTATATTTAACAAAATATGATTCGCGACCGTAGCGATTATGTGTTTACAGAATTATTATCATTAAAATCACCAATGCAACCCTGTAAATTCATATTAGCCCTTTGGAAGCTCCAGGGTGGCCCGCGAAATTCAAATTTTCTTGCGTTTTTTTTGCGATTTTCCAGAAAAACTCACTCATGAACTTACAGGGTTGTATTGGTGATTTTAATGATAATAATTCTGTAAACATATAATCGCTACGGTCGCGAATCATATTTTGTTAAATATATAACCTAACCCTGACTTGCAAATTCCAAAAAACGCAAGAAAATTTGAATTTCGCGGGCCACCCTGGAGCTTCCACCTTGATGATGCTGTGTATATACTTATAGTGGATGTAGAAAAACGGAGAGCCTTTTACCATAAACGAAGCATTCATAGATCTACTTACTTAGGCCTCAGAGGTGACGACGCTTCTAATTTTGATTCTTGCCCGAAAATGGATTATTTACTTCATGATAATAGATCGATAATTATTACATTCACGACCTTTTCTGTCACCAGGACGGCGCAGGAATTCAGTGAAATATATCTAGAACAGAGATCTAGTGTTCAAATTTGATAACTAATACTGAAAATAGAAAACATAGGGACACAGTGTATATCCTTTTTATTCAGTTTTTGAAATATCTTTTAAGTTGGTCCAATATTGGAGGAGGAAATGGTAGAGAGTCAAACCTCGAATTATGCCTTTTTTACCGACTTTAAAAAGGAGACGGTACTCAATTCGACTGTGTGTTTTTTTTTCTTTTTTTATGTGTGTTATCTCATAACATTTTTTCTGGGTGATTCGAATTCGCTGATACTTTTTTATTTGAAAGCTAATGCTTCTCATGTGGTTCCATATAAATTTGATCAAGGTCTGACAAATAGTTTTTGAGTTATTCTTAATAACTTATATTGGAAGTCGGTTGTACAAAATTTTAAATTATTAATTAGGCTATTCAGTTCAAATCTACAGTTGTACAGCAAATGGTACAAATAATATGTAGTCATATCTCAGAAACTCATATTTGCGCCACTTTCTTAGTTCAGCTGCCTTTGATACCGCCCTTATGACGAGAGGCTGCCAAAGTATCTATGCAAGTAGAATCCCACACTAGGGATTTACCTTTCCCTAACGACCATAAGTCTCCAAACGCAGACCATAAATCCAAAGTAAACTAGACTAGTGTAGTGTAGTAGTCAGTGGTGTGTCTTTCCTGGTGTAGTGGTGTTGGGATTAGTGGTGCTGGGATTAGTGGTGACGGTGATAGTGAACGCAATTGAGGGAGGACGGGAGGTGCTCTTCAAAATAGTTAAGACACATCATTTTATTTTATCGAGCGGATGTACGTGAGTAATATTTTGCCAACTTTAATTTGACTACATATTATTTGTACCATTTGCTGTACAACTGTAGATCTGGAATGAATAGCCTAAGTAATAATTTAAAATTTTGTACAACCAACTTCAATTTAAATTATTAAGAATAACTCAAATATTATTGGTTAGACCTTGATTAATTTTATATGGGGCCATATGATAAACACCAGCCATAAAAAAGAATCATCGAAATCTGTTCACCCAGAATTGTTAAATGTTATGAGGTAACACACATTAAAAAATCATAGAGTTGAATTGAGTACCTCCTTCTTTTTGAAGTCGGTAGAAAAAGAATATTCAGTTGAATTCAGAATCTTCTTCTTTTTTAAAGTGGCCTAAAAATATTTTAAAATGCTCAGGAAAATGTACTACGCATGTATGTACCAGTAGATACCTGTGTATGTATGTATGTTGTATAATATTAAACTTAACGGAGGTAGAGCCACGCAGCAGTTTTTGCTGTTGCACGTATGGGCTGGCTCGAGCCGGGTTGGTACCACGACCTCACAGAATACCGGCGTGAAGTAGAAGCTCTGCTTCAGCGATTCGTCTGGTGAGTGCAGGTGGCCGGAGGCCCAATCCCCCCCCCCCCCCCCCAGCAACATGGTAATGGAATTAAATAAAAGACTACCCCAGGAGGGTACCAGCACCCCTAGAGAATCCCTCGCTGAGCATCCACACAACCAAATTACTTCATTCCTGAGCGTGGGTGCTCAGGCTGCCCCGCGTATTCTGTGGGGGGGGGGGGGGGGACAAAATTCCGCTCAAAAACATAACTGCTCGGGGAAAACTGAGCAACAAGACCAAAGCGACCCCTGCCACGCTATACGTGAATTTCTGCAACATCAGGGGACTTCACTCGAACCTAAACGCCGTCCACTACCATCTCGAGACGGCGAAGCCGGCCTTGCTCTTTCTGACCGAGACGCAGGTTTCCTCTCCGGCTGATATTTCGTATCTTTCCTACCCGGGGTACAAATTGGAGCACTCCTTTGTGTCTCGGGCTGAGGTTGCGTGTATGTCAGTTCTCGCCGCCTCGGCAGTCTTGAAGGTTCGGACCTGTCCATCCTATGGCTACGCGTAGACAGCGACGACCATCCGCGCGTCTATGGGTGCCTCTATAGGTCCCATAGCGGTAATGCCGAAACAGACCGACTTATTTACCACGTCCAAATGGCTACAGATTCTTTGCTACAACAGGTCCCATCCGCAGAGATCGTGATCCTTGGCGATTTTAACGCCCACCACGCTGAATGGCTCGGTTCACGTTTAACCGATCATGCAGGGAGATCTGTTTATGACTTTGCTTTTGCATATGGTCTGACATAACTGGTTACATCGCCTACGCGGATTCCAGATGTGGAGGATCATACATCTTCCCTGTTGGACCTTCTGCTGACCTCTCATCCGGACGGATATCAGGTTTCCGTCGATGCCCCTCTCGGCTCTTCGGACCATTGTCTGATCCGGAGTGTGGTGCCACTCACGCTCCCCTCGCGGTTGCGTTCTACAGGTTGCCGCCGTGTTTGGCATTACAGGTCGGCGGATTGGGACGGAATGCGGTCTTTCTTTGCATCCTACCCATGGGGGCGGGTTTGCTTCTCGCCGGATGATCCCAGCGCTGTTGCTGACTCTGTCACTGATGTGGTGCTACAGGGAATGGAACTATTTATTCCATCATCTGTGGTACCCATTGGAGGCACATCTCAGCCTTGGTTTGGTCGCTCCTGTAAGACTGCATTACGCAGTAAGCAGGAGTGTTATCAAGCCTGGGCTGCGGCTTCGGTGACTCGGGATGTAAACACCAGCACACTTAAAAAGAAGTATAACTTCGCCTCCAGGTCCTTCAAAAGAGTTATTGCCAAGGCAAAGTCAGAGCACATAGGCAGAATTGGCGAGAAACTAGTTCGCCTTCCTTCGGGATTCTGGTCTCTCGCCAAGGCTGTCCAAGGGAATTTCTGTAAGCCATCACTACCATCTCTGCACAGAGAGGACGACTCACTGGCCCAAGACGCAAAAGACAAAGCCGACCTTTTAGGCTCCCTTTTTGCGTCCAACTCGACTCTTGATGACGGGGGGGAAACACCGCCGACCATCCCGTGTGTGTGCTCCATACCGGATGTGCTGTTCTCACAGCGCTCGGTTCGCAAAGCACTCCTCCCTGGACATCCAGAAGTCGAGTGCGCCTGACGGAATCCCCCCAATTATGCTGAGGACGTATGCTCCGGAGTTGGCACCGGTCCTAACGCGTCTTTTCCAGTACTCCTACTCCCAAGGCGTAGTCCCGAATTCATGGAAGACAGCTTTTGTCCACCCGATCCCTAAAAAAGGCGACCCCTCAGACCCGTCCAACTATAGGCCTATCGCGATCACCTCCTTGTTCTCCAAAATAATGGAATCAATTATTAACTGCCAGCTCATGCGGTACCTTGAGGATCACCAGCCGGCAATTATGTAAGGAATGCCGGTATTTAAGGAACTAAGACCATTTGCATTTACAACCTACAACATGGTTTAAGGTGCATATCTGGACATCCACCAGTAGAATTTAAAGGGTTGTTAAAGAAATAAAAAAGAAGACAGACGGATGTTTGCGTGAGTCAAGAGGTCGAGCGTGGTTTCGACGTCATGTGAAAACTTGAAATATACCCAATTGTGGCTCCTTCTATCTTTTTTGTTGGTCTGAGGTGTCAGTATATATTTGTTTTTAATTTATTCTTACGTTCCATTTTACAAAAGAATACAAAGGGTGGACTTAATCACATGAGGCATTCTCTACCAGCTGCCTAACTGGCAGACAATGCCTCTACCATGAAGTGGTGAAAATATGAATATTAAT